AGCGAGTTAGCACCCAAGCCCGCTCAACTATGTAGTAGATCACTGAGGTCATATAATTATTGATCGGGCAGCCAGACCCACAGCATGGGAGGCGGGGGGGGGGCATGGGGTAGGGAATGGGTGGAAGGGGGAGGGGGGAAGGGGGAGGGAAGGGGTAGCAGTAATGCAAAGCCGGTGGTTCTATCATCACCGCGCGGACTCGCCTCCGCACCCAAACACGCACGCACGCACACTCTCACTCACTCACTCACTCTCACACTCACTCACTCACTCTCACACTCGCGCTCACTCACGCTCTCACTCACACTCTCACACACTCTCACACTACGCTCTCATCACTCAGTCACGCTCTCACTCACTCACACACACCACACACACACACACACACACACACCACACACACACACACACACACACACACACACACAACACACATACACACACAACACACACACACACACCACACACCACCACACACACCACACACACACACACACACAACACACACACCACACACACACACACACACCACGCCGGCTCGCGACTCGCATAGCATCCATTATATCATATATGTATATGCCTTGCAAGAGAGAGAAAGAAAAGGTTTAAAAATAATAAGATAGATGCGAGGTCACAGGCAAAGGGGGGCGTGGCTTCTCGGCGTGTCAGAGGGGTGGGAATTTGCTTCCGTGAGATTGCTCATTGAGGAGAGAGAGACGGGAGGGCAGACGAGGAGAGAGATCGAAGGAGATGGAGGAGAGACCCGGAATGGAGAGAGAACGAGAGACGAGAGAGAGAGAGAAAAGAAAAAGATAAGGATTAAGAAGAAGAATAGAAAAGAGAAAGAGAGGGAGAGGAGCGAGGGGCGAGAGACGCGAGGGCGGACGGGAGAGCGGAAGAGAACGAGAGCAGAGAGAGAGAGGAGAGAGCAGGACGAGTGAAGGGAGCAGAATGAGTACGGAAGATATGGAAGAGGCGGAGATAGATCGAGGAGGAGGGGAACAGAGAAGGAGAGGTAGAGGGGGGAGAGATACCGGAGAAGGTGGGGAAGAGAGGGGAGAGAGGAGAGAGAGAGACGAAGAGAGCTGGGAGAAGTCGTACGAGACTGAGATGGAAGGGTAGAGAGGAAGGGAGGAGAGGAGAGAGAGGAAGAGAGGAAGGAGAGTGATGAGGAGAGACTAGAGAGAGCGAGACCGAGAAGAAGAGAAGAGTAAGTAGAATGGAAGAGGGAGAGGAAGAGACGAGACTGGAGAGAGAGAGGACGATGAGAGAGAACCGTGAGAGGAGACGGAAAGGCTGGACTGAGAGAGGGAGGTGAGGGAGAGAGAGAAAGTGAAGAGAGAGAGAAAAGAGCGAAGAGACGTACGAGAGTGACTGAGAGGATGAGAGAGGAGAGCGAAGAGGAGGAGGGAGAGATGAGATGAGAGAAAGAGAAGATAAAAGAGAGAGGGAGAAGGAGAGAGAAGGAGAGATGCGAAGATAGAGAGAAGATGACGGAGAAAGAGAGATGACAGAGATGTGAGAAAACCTAGAGAGACCGCGAACCGTATATTGAACGATGGCCAATCGAAGGAGAAGCGAATGAGAAGACGAGAGGGACGGAAGCCATGAGTACGTTTGTCGACAACAGAGTATGAGAGAGACGGATTGCGGAGAAGCAGAGATATGGAGGAGATGAGGTAGTGACAGGATTGGAGAGAATGGATGAAGGAGAGAACAGGAGAATGTAAAAAAAAAAAAAAAAAAAGGACATGGAGCGATAGAAAAACACGAAAACCTGCTAGTATTATAACAGGAGCGCATAAGTATAAAATGGCAACGGAGCAACAGAGAGCCGATGGGAAGACGGCCCTCGGGGCCCAAAGTGAAACGCGGCGACAAAGTGGCAGGCTGGAAGGAGAGACAGACTTCTATATATAAAACATATATTAATATTATAAAATAAGAATCCCCCGTAAGCCCCGCCCCAGCCCTTGTAAAAATTTATTAAAAAATCTCCGCGCCCTCAATTAGGAGCCCGAGTCGTAATCTTCATTCGCTCTGAAAGCACGTCGACTGGCGTTGCACACTATGTGAAAGGAGGGAGGGAAGGGGGGGCTGGTCTTCGCGAGGTGCGAGAGAGGGGAGAAGAGGGAGGAGGTAAGAGGAGAGGGAGGTGAGGGAGGAGGAGGGTACGGAGCGAGGGCGGAGAGGGGCGAGAGGGAAGGAGATGCGGATGGAGAGGAGAATGGACGGAGGCGGGGGAAGAAGAAACATGAAGAAGGACTATTTAGACGAGAGACGAGGGCGAAGGTGATGGGGCGGGCGATATGGGGATGATGATAGGTTACGACGACGACCAAAAAAATAAACAACAGCAAAAGCTGCGCGCGCTGAGAACAGGAAACCCTCGACTCCCCCCACCCCTCCCACCGGGCATTCTCGCCTACAATTTTTTACATAGCGACCTCACCCACCAAAAAGGAGGGCAGAGAGATTGATCGCATTGCATGACCCTCGACTCCGCTAGAGTGTGATGATGAGAGAGAGAGATGAGGGAACGAACGGACCACACGCGAGAGCCGCAGTAGGAACTTGATATCCTGAGACCGCCGCGCACCGCAAAACATGGACAACCTTCCCTCTCTATCTATATGGTCAAGATATCTCCAGCACGATCGCATTCAGCTCGCTCTCTGCGCTCCGCTTTCGCCGACTTCTATTGCTTACGGCTTTGCCTTTCGAAAGAGGCGCAAATGGAAACAACGGGCTTTGAAGAATAGATGCAGGGCCGGAGCAGGCGGCGGGGTCGAGCGGCACGGTCCATCGCGGCGGCGGGCGGAATGTATAATACTTTATATATCTGATGTAGAGAGCCGGCACACAGAGGACGAATATCAATTGAGTAAGTCAATGTGATAACACAGAACAGTATCATGAAACATGAGAGCAGAATAGTTAGAGCTTCAACTCACCTTGGGATGAGTATAGTGCGTATTGCCACCGAGACTCAGCTAACTGGATGCGCTATATATATATAGGAGCACAGGAGAGAATGCTGGGGCGAAGTGACGAAAGACCGTATATGACAATATAATATATCTCCGCAGAATTGGAATTATATCTACTCTTAATCTCTCTATATATAACCTAAATAAAGTAGAGAAGAAAGAAGAGAGAAAAGCAGAAAACCCGAAGCCACAGATCCAGTCTGTTGTTGCATGTGTGGAGTCTTATTATCTCTTTCTCTGAAATCTGGAATGGGCGAGAGGGACCAAAGAGAGAGGATATTAACGTCTGATGTGGAACGAAGAAGCGGAGGGACGCCTTATCCGGAAGAGGCCCTCTGCGCTGCCGCCGCCGAGCATTCGCTTGAACGAGGCTGCCGCATGACGCATCTTTCCGCCCCGTCAGGCACGGCGCCGTGGGCATAAGGATATTCTCAGCTCGAGCGCCGGTACGCCCGGACTGCGTGAAAGAATGTAAGAGAATCGCGAGTGCCGAGAGAGACACGAAGAGGGAGAGAGAGAGAGCGTCGAGAATCAAATGAGTAGCTCGAAATACGGAATGAGAGGTACAGAGAAGAGAGGAGCTCGAGAGACCGGAAGTACGATCGACGCGAATCGTCACACCGTTCTTTCTGCACGTAGCACTCTTTGAATGTCGAGGGGGGTAGGGAGGAGGAGACGAGGACGTGGTGAAGGGAGAGAGAGAGGAGAGAGAAGGAGGAGAGGAAGAGGTATAATAATATATTGAGAGAGAGAGAGGGGACGGGAGAGGGATAGACGGAGAGAGGAAGAGAAGGAGAGAAGAGACAGAGCGAGAAGGAGAGGAGAGAGAGAGAGAGAGAGAGAGAGAGATGAGATGAGAGAGAGATCACGAGTGAAGGGAAGCGGGAGACCGGTGAGAGGGAGTGAGTGCATTAGCGGTGAACGTCTAGTCTAAACCGGCTGTTCGCTGCATCCCTCATGTGCTGACATCATCATGATGTCACTAATCTTAAGACACAAAGGTTTACGATCTGATGTGACGTCACATGGAAAAGCATCTCGTGACGTCACGATTAAATGATCAGAGAAGACTACAACCAATGCGACACACTTGGCAATGACTGTCACTAAGTGCCTGAGCCAATCAGCAATCAACAGAGTTATTGTGATGAATGAAACAAATGTTGTGAATTCCGCCCGGCCGTTCCGAGGCTGAAGGAAGCAGACGGAACAGGATGACTTCGTTACTATTGATCTGTTTTTGGTCAGCCTGAGAGGAAAGTTTTTTTTGTTGGTGATGGCAATGGGGGGAAATTGTATGTTTGTATTTTTATGCATTGTGGATATGCAAGGATAATGAGGGTAGTGGTCGTTATGTTTTTATGATTATTGTTATCGGGATTGTTATTAGTAGTAGTAGTATTACTATAGAATATTTTCCTTGTTGCTCTATTATTATTATTATTATTATTATTATTATTATTATTATTATTATTATTATTATTATTATTATTTATTATCAATTATTATTATTATTATTATTATTATTATATTATTATTTATTATTATCATTATCATTATCAATAAAAGTATTGATATTATTTATATTATTGCTACCATTGTTATTATTATTGCGCCTACGCTTGCAGCTGCTATATTTTGTTTATTGCTGTCGTTGTTATTGTTATCATAAATATTATTATTATGATGATGATGAGCAAAACTACTATTACTACAACTATTATTATTATTTTTGTAATTGTTACTGCTATTATATTATTTTCATTATTTTATTATTATCATTATTATTATTATTATTATTATTATTATTATTATTATTATTATTATTATTATTAGCATTGTTGTTGTTATTTTTGTTGCTACAACTATTGCGCTGCCGCTGCAACTATTACTATTGCCATTACCACTATTTAGAGAGAAGTAACAAATATCAGTTTGTCTGGAATGTCATTATCACGAATGCGTGTGAGCATGAATGCAAACATACTAAGCCCTCCTTTCCTTCCACAGCCCGACGCCTGCAGACTCCAGCTTCGTTAAACGGCGTGCAGCCCCCACAGCACTCCCAAGCAACCTCTCAGAGTGCCAGTGGTGCAGCACCGACACAGCCAACGCAAGTGAGCCACCAGTTGCCTCCCCTTGCCTCCACCGTCAGCACTTCGGCAGCAGCACTTCTTTCCAGGCATCAGACGCTACGGCTACAGCGCCTTCAGGTTGAGCACGAGAGACTGAGGCTTCGTCAGCAAGAGATTATCAAAAAAGTACGTGTGCTTAGCTGTCGTTTTGTATCTCGGTCAATTACTATTTAGTTCTACTTTTGCATCCGTTTTTTATGTAATCATATTCAAGAGGCGCATGAAAAAATCATAAGGAGCTACGTTGAGATAGGAGACTTAAAAAAAGATATTAATGTCAGATCAGGAATGCCCATTTTGGCCTTGAAAGAAATAAGCTCGCTCCGTAATCAAAGGTTCAGTAGAAGTTGCAGAAGTATGACAGTCAACGTATATGCAAAAAGAGATGTAGATCAGGTGGTAATAAGTACTGTCATGGAAGTCATTCATTTCAGCCAAGCAAAATATATGCCTGCTAGCTGCATCATATACTTTCATAAAACTTTATATCTTGGAAGTAGAGGGAGGAGGAGAGGAAGACAGAGAGTGAGAGGGAGAAGGAGTAAGTGAAGAGAGGAAGAGGGAGGGGTAAGTGTGGAGGAAAAGGTGGGTAGAGGAGAGGGAAAGGGAGAGAGAGAGAGAAGGGTAGGGTGAGAAATGGAGGAGTTGGGGTAGGAGTAGAGAAGGGAAGGGAGGAAGAGAACGGGAATGGGGGAGAGAGAAAGAAAGGAGGAGAAAGAGAGAGGAGGGGAAAGAAGAGCAGAGGGTAAGGGACATGGAAAAATGGAGAGGGGAAGGGATAGGGGGAGAAATGAATAAAGGAAAAGAGGGTGAGGGATGGATAGGGGATAAGGGGGAGGGAGAGGAAGGAGGAGGGCTAGGGGAGAGAAAGAGAGAGTGAGTGAGTCAGTGAGTAAGGCGTTGAGTAAATGAGAGCATTAGAAGGAGGGGAAAAGAGAGAGTTGGAGAGTGAGTAAGGAGGGAAGGAGAAGGAGAGAGTGAGTGAGAGGGAAAATGAGGAAAATGAGAAGAAAAAGAGAGAGGGAAAGGTAGTGGGAAAGGGAAAAGGAGAGGCATTACTGTTTGGTACAGAGTGGGTGTGGTGGTTTGTGAGTGTTTACATGGCAACATGCCAGGATTAGTAGAGGAGGTAGAGGTAATATTGGTCTGCTGTTAACTCACTGCTCTCTCCATCGACTTGATGTCCTGCTCATGTTCAGCATGAGTAGCATTTTAGCAGGGAAAAGATTCTTACACTTAGAGCTGGTTTTGCCTTTAATTGCCCATATGAAAATAATTTCACATATTTAATGAAAGCAGTATATATGGATACATAATTAAAGTGGATAATGATCGTTTAACAATAATCAAACCTTATTTCTATTCACAATAATTTTTTTTTTCCAGGAACAGTCATTGCAAATGAGTCTGCAAGAAGAAGCAAGACAGCAGCAGGTACAACCTTCACAACAACAACAGCCACAACCACCACAACCACAGCCACAACCACAGCCACAGCAGCAGCAGCAGCAGCAGACAGCACAAACAGTAGCCCAACAGCAGTCCACACAGCAAACCTCACAACAACAGCAGCAAGGTAGTGAGCTGGTGCTGACCTCTGCTGGCCTGACTTTACCCTCGGCCCCGCAGACAATGACTCCTGTGACCAGCGCGGTCACCACAGCTGGTGACACCTTCATCACTACCACAGACATCCACACGCGGCAGGAGTCAGCAGATAGTGGACTAGGCCTGGGGACCAATTACTCCCTCCCTCATACTCCCGAGGATTTCCTGGCATCAATGGAGGATGTTGAGATCACACCTGATGGTTGGTTGGCAGAGTTTGGTTCATCCCTCCTCCGATGTAGTGTTGCTGCCTTAACTCGAGCAAACTCTTCCCCAGTCTCTGGCTTTTCATTGAACTATTGATTAGCTAATTTCCTATGATCTTTACCTATTTACATGTTAATGTTATAGTCATTATTGTAGTTAATAACTTCATGGGGTAACTGTTATAGTGACAGACAGGAATGGTGTCTTTTAGCTTTGGATTTCTTAATGATTTATAATTTATATAGATTAGAAATAAGCTAACACATCCTTTACCAATTTAGAAGTATGATTGATCTTAATTTAGTCTTCCAGTTTTATAAGATGTGCCATTTTGATGCATGCTTTCTTTTTGTAATGAAAATTAGAGTTGTGTTAAAATTTAAAGTAGTATCAAGAAGAAATTGAGTGTAATCCACCATATATACATGCATGGATATTTAGAACTAAATGAGCTATGAAACCAAGATGTGTTACGTATATAATACTTTTCTCTAAAACTGTAAATATTTGCTTCTCCTCTTTGGTGGCTCATACTTTAGCACAATGCAGAGCTGGTACTTTTGTCAACTACTCATTATATTTAAATTGGCTGGCTTAAGGTTCTAACCACTCATATTCCTAACAGCATATGGAAAAATAAACAAATGTTTTAAATATAGGCAGCAAAACAATGTGCCTCTTAGATACCTCAAAATTAGTTTGAAACATGATACAGAAAAGTGAGTAGAATATTGCTCTTCAAATGTTAGCCATGCAAACAATTAGAGGAAAAATACAGTCTCGTATTTAAACACAGATTAATTCATTTCACAGCCATTGACAGTTGGTATTATCATGTACAACACTAGCAAAGTCACAGATAATAAGATTAAGTAAGACTATTTCTGGAGCTTTTACACTGACTTTAGGATATTTTGCCATGTGGATAAACTTCCTAGTAGTTTTACCAAACTTAAGATTTCTCTGTCATCTAGGTATAGTTACACTTGAAAAGTTTATAGATGTCATAGTTATAGTCTGGTGTCTTGTCTGTTTAGCATTTTCCCAATATACTGTGTAGTTGGTATTCATTTCATTGTACAATATAGTGTTTCCTATGTTTGTGTAAAATGTACATTCTTTTGTAACAAAAGCATGCTATGTGATAGATTCAAGAAGATTATTTATTTTATAAGTAAATACATAAAGTTTGATGTTCATTGTTGTAAGTAATGCAGTTTTGTTATTTATTTATATATTTGTGTTTATTGTTGTTGAAAATGGGGTATCATTATTTATATATTCTTTATATTTCTTTTTTCCTGAATGTTTTTTTTTATCTATTTTGCTTTTGGTGTTTTTTTATTATGATCACTTTATTTTTTTTATTATTATATGTTTTTTTTTTTTGCGGGGGGTCTCATTATTTTTACTGTTATATTTTTTTGCAAATTAGATTCATTCACACTCATGGATTTTTTTCTTTGGTTGGATATTGTTTACTTTTTAATTGATTTTAACTTATTTTTTTATTTATTATTATTATTATTACTTTTTTTTTAGATATTTGTAATATTAATGATATAGGTAGTTGTAAGTACATAGGACCATGATGAATATTATTGCTAAAATTACAACTGTGTTTTAATAATAATACTGGCAATAACCAATAATGATATTAACCTTGCTGTTCTTGAAATCTTATTCATAACTGGTTTTAAGTAAAATTATTATCATTACCATCATTGTTGTTTATATTTCAGACTAATATACAAGTTTCATTGTAGTGTGTCTTGTTAAGCGACTTTTGACTTGACATTTCTGTTTTGAATGTGAATATTATAGTTTTATTTATTTATTTATTTTTTATTTTGTTATTTATTTTTGTCACTGATGTTTCATTGTTTTATTATGCTCTTAATTTTTTTTATTGTTATTGTTTTTTTTTTTGTTTTTTTATTAATAAGTCATCATCATCAATCATCAGTCATTATTATTGTTATTGTTTTTATTATTATTAATTGATTAATTTATATATTCTTCTTATTATTATCACTATTATTACAATTCCTATTTTTAATGAGATTATTACTACTTTTATTATTATTGCTATTATTGTGATTATTTTTAATATTATTATTATTATTATGGTCCTTTTGTTATCATTATCTTTAATATCACTTTTATTAGTAAGTGTATTTGATATTCATTTTTAGTTTTGTTTTCATTTTCTTTTTTCTTTTTATTATTGCTGTTTTTGTAGATCGTTCTTTTATTCATTATTATTGTTATTATTATTTTTTTTACATTCCTATTTTTCATTTTAGATTTTTTCATCATTTACTTTTCATTAGTATTTTTTTATTATTACTTTTAATATTATGCATTTATATACTTTTCTTTTCTTTCTTTCTTTTTTACTACTTGTCTTACTTTTTTTTTTTATTAGTGCCATTTAGTGATCTTTGTGATATTGTCAAAGAGAGGGTATAATGTTAAGATATTGGTATACCACAAGAATAGGTCTCTTTTTCAGGTGTTTTTGATCTGCCACTTCTGCCTTTCTAACATTTATGATTTTGGGTGTTATATGTTGAGATTCTTGTGCTTGAACCATTAGTTAAGATATATAAATATAAGACATAAAATCAGATATGTTTGTCTGTGCTAAATGGATAAATATCCTGTGTTGATGTTTATGAATTGGCATTGCAATTTGGTTTAGTTTTAATAAGTATTACATGTAAAGTGATATCAACTATGGGAAAGTTTAATGAATAAATCACAATAAGGAAAGAAGAAATACTTCAAAAATATACTAAATATTAGTTTTCCTTCTGCATTGAAACAAACTGTATTACACATTTAAACATCAAACTATATTCTACTTGTAAGGTATCACAAATTTTATTGCAAAATTTATTGCAACACAGTATCATATTTGCAGTTGAGATGAAGACCTCACCAGCGAACAATATCCTCGAGGCCCCTGAGTTGGAATCCATGGACTCTGAGGACCTTGTGCAGTCAATACAGGTAAGGGAAATAAAATTTTGTTTGATAATTGATCGGCTGCTTTACTTCTGCCTTCTTTTTTCTGTTATATTTTCATACTTAGTTTAGAGAATATGGAAATGAATATGCAGTTTTCTTGTTTGTAAGATTTTTACTTTTCATGAACCACTTTGCTGATGAGTAAGATATGTTATGATATAAACTCTGTTGTAATACTTTATGCTCTAGAAATAATGTATAAAAAAGTTGGGAATATTCTCATGAAATTCATTTAATATATGGAAACCAAATAATTAATTTCCATTACTGAATGCCTAATTTTGACTTCTCTTTACAGCTTAATGATGACCTGTCCACGGATTTCTTAAACGACATGTTGGAGCCCTCCAAAATAGATAATCTCCATACGTGGCTGTAAATGAAGAAACATAATATATAAAAATACGTAAAAGTAGCTCATGCTTCATTAGTGGTGAAAAGACTGATGCCTGGGGACAATTAGCATTAATTAAATATAGTCAGTTGGTTTCTTTGTTTCCTGGTGGCATAGAATGTACCTCTTAAAGCTGGAATAGGCTAAAAGGTATCTTAGTGTTGATAGAAAGAAAAAAGTAAACCCCATTTGGGCTTCTGTATATAAAAGGCTTGTATGGGAAGTAATACAAGAGAAATGGCCAGGTTACAAATTCCAAAATTTAATATTTTCAGTACCTCACAGGTGTGTGGGTCAGTGTTGTGCAAGGATGTTGAAGTGCTGAAATCATGTAGGTAGAAAATATTAGAAACATGAATGTTCAGTGAGTAATGGTACAATGAAAAGGCAGCCTTAATGTAAGAGTGTGCATGTGAATTTGTGATGGATGCAGGAAGTACCAAAAATTGGGCTGTGTTCTGCAACCCAATTGCTCATGAATACCTGTGAGGGAATATTCGCCACAAAAAACCAGGCTGTGTGGGTTTCCTGCATAGTTCCGAAACTATGGGGAAAGCTGCGTGTGTGTGTGTGACGAAATCCACAGAACAGTGATAGGGGGAAGCTTCAGAGATAGACTGTTTTGTGAGAGTCTTAGGCAATGATCCCCATTCTGTATGTGATGGTTCAGTGCCTCTCGACTACCAAGTTATACTCTGTTTCAGTGGAGAGTTCTCAATGGTGGAAACCTCCTGAATCGTAGGTTTAAGTTCCATTTTGTGAATACCTTTTTGTGGATTCATGACGTGCATTTAGGACTCTTTTTAATGTACTTGGAGGTCTATCTCATGCCTCTGTCTTCTCCATATATATAGCAAGTGATTCACTACCAATCTTACCGTCCAGTTCTGCCTTGATCAATGGAATATTGCCGGAATTACTCTTGTTACAGAATAACTATATTTATTAATGATAGGTGATATTCATGTAAATAGTGTATGAGGTTATGTTCTTCTTTAAGAATTACTCACTATCTTAATATAATAGATAATATAAATAAATAGTTAAAAAAAGGCATTAAATATTTTTAGATGACAGAGGCAGCTGTTTAACCAATGGAAACAAAAATGTTGGTCCCAAAATGAATGGGAATATGATGATCATTGTTTACAATGCACTCAGTGCTCCTTTTTAATTTTCGAGACCATGGAGCAGTCTGTTGTTTGCATTTTGTTTTGTTGCTGTGTAATAATTATTCTTTTTTTTTGTTTCATTGTTTTTGTTTTGTTTTTCTTTTGGCTGTTATGCTCCTTACATCTGTGGCTACCCTAGTTCCTGTAGTGTGAATATGTAAAGCAAAGGCTTGTGACCATGTATAGCCACATATGTTATCTTTACTGGGTTGATATTTTAATATGTTGACAGAGCCAACCCTGAAAAGTATGGATTTGATGGTTATATGTTGTGACAAACGCAAACAAACGTATTGCTCTTATCACTTCTCCCCTCCCAGTGATTGACATGACCTTACCTGTAGAAGTACATGAGATCTCGGTTGCAACACATATGTTGTTAATGAAGTTATAGACGTCTCACTAAACATAGTAAGATGTTAGTAGAAGTTGTGTTGCCACTGAGAAATAAGTTTGTGCTTTGAGTCTTTTAAGAAAAAAATCTTTTGATTCTTGTTCTCTGAAATTCAGTGCATTGATTGTTATATTCTTGATAAGTATTTTTGGTGCCTTAAAGAAATATTGTGCCTTGTGCAAATGGCAGTATGTGGTTGGTTAGTTGGAGCAGGAACTAAGGTGTTAGCCAATCGAGTTTTCCAGCCTTAGTTAACCACACCGTTCATGTACTTAAAACAATGACCATGGTTTAAACTAGGTCAATCAGTCCTTAAACTAGCATTCTTCATAGTTCACCAATCCCTATTATTAATGTGACGTGGGTGGTCTCTGTATCTATTGCGCAGGCACCTCTGCCTTGCGATTGTGCCAGTTGTTGCTAAAGGGATGGTCTCCCAAATGGAAATGGGATAAATTTTTGTACTGAAAATATACCATGTCCTCTCTGTATCCCCCATAGCCCTCTGGTCACGTCATCAGTATTTCTAATCCCCCACATCCATCCGCAGTCTGCTCAAGTGATTTATTGGACGTCCCAAGTGCCTTTGTCTGCAGCTGTTTAGTGGCCGTTCAGCTCCTCCCTGGGTCATTAAACTGGTCAAAGGTCATGACCCAGGTCGTTAGAGGTCACTTTGGCAGCTCTCATGCCACTGATAAGTTGTGGCATTAGGTTAAGGTTCATGTTATATGTTAAGGATGAGTAAACACCAAGAGTTTACCACACGCTTGGTGATTGCTCCGTTATTATCATTATTATTTTATTATTACGTTTATTGCTCCAGTAGACATGAATTTTTACTTATATCAGGAAATGTACATGTTCATTTTTTTATGTTCATAGTATGGTGTCTTTTGTGATATACATCTAGCATGCAATGTTGTTTTTAGTTTTTGTCTTATAGTGGCCATATTTGTTAGTTTTACAATGAGTAGTTAGACACTCAGCGGCAAGGCTCTTGTTTTTCAATCTTTTAATGTGGTGAAGGGTTCCTAGTGTAGATTAAAAGAAAAAATATCACAGCTACCAATATTATATTCATATCAAACTTTCTTAGAAGAATAATCCAATGGTAAAGTTTTATACTAATAGAATTAAGGTTATAGCCCAAGTGTTGACTTGTCTTTTTTTACGGTTAATTTGGGCTGCGTCCTTCCCAACCTTTCTTGCACAAGTTTGTGAAGCTCAGTTGCCCTACATACCTTGAGTGAGCAATGTAAGGAGTATTTGCACTCCATGCAAGATTGATAGAGGGGACTGCCTGCCTTACCCTAGAAAACCAGGTTCAGTTTCACTATATTTTGACTGGGAAATGAACCTGAATTGTAAGGCAAAACCTCCTCTGATCTTGACCACAGTTCTCGCTACATTGCTTCAATCAGAGGTCTTGTCTTTCCATGATCCTAGGGATGCTGATTTCACAGACTGACACTTATCAATGTTGCCTTGCTTTGTAAGGTCCTGTTGAAGTCCCAACAATAATTTTTCATTGTACAGTCTATATGGGACTAATATGGGAAATAACCAATGTAATGGGGAAAGGTAGCAAGCCTTGACAGCTGAAGCATGCAAGATTTTCAAAGGACATTTCAAGCTGCTCACCCACTCCTTGTCTCGTCTTATCAGCACACCGCCATATACATCAACCCCCCTGGCTAGAAATGGCTTTAAGATAATCTGCATAGCAATGCTGTATTCTTGCTCCACCCCTCAACTATGGTATTAGCTTATAGCTCACAGATCACAATGAAATTTTTGCAGTTCAGGCAGAAAAAAGGAAAGTTAGCGTAGGGACATTCATACGAAAGATGAACTTCGTGTGAACTGTAGGTTGGTTATAAATATCCTGGGATTGCCCTCAACTTAAACATGCAGGTTGCTGCTAACAAATATGACTCCCAAGCTTATTGATATCAGTAAGCACATGATTTGCCATAATAATGATGGCAGAAGTGCCACATCAAACAATTTTCCCTTTTTTTGCCACAATTGTGAATACCGCCCAAGTGCTTATGACGCAAGTGGGGGTGATGGAAGGTCATCCAAAACCCCATGAAATTAAGTGTATGCTGAAGCAATGTAAATAAATTTTATCTTCAAATAACTTGTTCTTTTTATACCTTTACTACAAAATCCATTGTTTTTATTATAACAATGATTTAGGTATGTAGGCAATTACATAGAAAAAGCAAGCTCTATATTCCATCTTCAAATAGATTAGAAAACCCACATTAAAGATGTACTATTACAATACTTCATTACATATAGGTGTCATTCTCATAACTGCAAATGTAAATAATTCATGTGAAGACCAATTGAAATAATGTTTCTCTATGATAATTTGCAGTATACTTCATATTGATATGACTAAAAATTATGAAAAAGAGGGAAAAATTATAAAAAAATATGAATGAAAATGCATTCCTAAAACAATAGAATAAAAAAATACCTAAAATCATCTATAGAATGACATGGATGAAGAAACACAGCATATCTTATGTTTTACATTTTATCACAAAATGTTTATCATCCTAAAATAGAACACCAATAAAAAAGTGGAAATTAGCAATGAATGAAGTATTTATCAATGTAGAGCTGTCAAACAGATGAAGATTTTTGTCATTGGAAACACTATAGCAAAGTCAACCAGAACTAAAGAGAAACAATATATCTAAATCATCTAGAGCTAGAGAATAAAATATAAAGCCTGCTAATCACCTTTGCTGCTGATACTATTAGATCATCAGGATGAACTTCCTGTTATAGGAATCCTGTGCCAAGTTAAGAAACCGCATTGCAGTAAGCTTTTCTAAAATATATTGAACATCAAAGTCAGAGTATATCACTTATTACAGATTTTTTTTTTCAGATATATATGTATTCCACAATAAATCAGCTCTTTTAAAAACACGGCATGTGTTAGAAATGAAAAGTGGAATTATACATTGCTTTAAATTCAAATGCGAGCAGTCTCCGTTCAGATAATCAAATAAATCTATTTTTGTAAATATGTTATCAACTCAGATATGTATGAGTGGTGAACCTGAAGAATTATGTTTTCTTAAGGTGGTCTGTGGTCTAAGCACTGTTTTTGTAAGTTTAATTCCAGTAAGAAGCACTTCTCTAACATAGAAAGTCCACCTGGTTATAAAGCCCGTGTCCACGATCGAAGAAAGGCCGGCGGGTGTTGCCAAAATACAGTACGTACGCCGAGTTGTTCAGACTTTGGTGTCTAATTGCAAGCTACAGCCATGCAGGGACCAGAGTAGGTGGTTGACAGATGTTTGTTTGCGATGTATTTGGCATGATTTGGTACTTGTATATAGAGAATTAACGTATTGAACTTGCTATTAGGTCGGTAATTAAATGAAGCAAGGAAAAAGGAATGTTTCTCTTGCCAGTATCCCGTTTTCTGTAGACAAGAAATGCCTCGTTTTCTTTGAATTTCTATTTGATTGAAACACTAGTGATAACTGCAATATAGGGAAAAGTAGGATTGGTAGTAAGAAAAACAATATTCTATCAATTGTTCATACTACCAAATGGTCATAGTGGTTTCGAACAACCAGTACGGGCACTTTGTTAATTAGCTCGCGTGCAAACTACGTCTCAAGGGCACTGCTCGATCGTTGTGGACAACGTTCTACCTTGATAATTTCTTACACATCAATATTCAATTCATGAACTCGAAAAAATTACAATTTTTCTCGATATCGATTATTTCAATTTATTTCAGTCACATAGGTTGATTGCTCTTAAATCTTTTCTGTTAGTGAGTACTAATTTATGTCCCATCTGAATTTTACAAACCTGTGCTCATAGAAATGTCAATTTTCCCCTTTTGCACCAGCATATGAATTTCTACCACACATAAATAAAACAATTCCCACCCCCAACTCTCTCTCTACTTTCCCCCCTTTCTCTGTCTCTGCCTCTGCCTGTCTGTCTGTTTGTTTGTCTCTGTCTGTCTGTCTGTCTCTCTCTCTCTGTATGTGTTTATGTGTGTGTGTGTGTGTGTTTGTTTGTGTCCATATATGTGTGCGCCCGTGTGTGTGTGGGTTCGTGTGTGAATGAGTGAGTGTGAGTGAGTGAGTGAGGGAGTGTGAGTAAATGAGTGTGAATGAGTTGAGTGAGTAAGAGAGGGAGTTAGTGTGTGTGTGTGTGTCTGTGTGTAAAATCGGTTATTTACATTTTATAAGGTATACAAGCATTACACTGACAAGATGAATCGATTTGTTTTAACGCTTTTGCATTATGCCTTTTGAGGGAAAGTCTATCATTCGAGATATCCATCTTGAGCTAAAGCTATTTTTGGAAAATAGTTTTGTTTTCGAGATTCGTAATTTAAGCATCTTTATCGCTGTCTTTCCTTTTATCCTAAATATCGTTTGTTTGTGAACCCCATTCTCATTCTAATTAATGTTGCTTTTTTCTGAAGTTGATCTGAATCCGTTTTATATGTATTTGCGAAAACGCCAGAATCTTTGGTAAGCTAACTGGCTTTATGAAGTGAGACACGTATAAATGTATTTGTGTGGGTGTATTGTAAGTGCTTACGGAAAAAGGGCATCCAAATACACTTTACATTTGTAAGGGCATATTTACAAATGTATTTCTGTGGTCGAAGTGTATTTACACACGTATTTTTTTCTTAGCGAAACTTCATATTATCGTAAAATAGTCAGCTAGTTGGTAATGGGTAAATGGAAAGGCAATAAGTTATCAGGGTATGAGTTTCGTACATTCTACATACTAACATATCATACTGTGTACTCTTTTATTTATTTGCCTCCTGGAGGATCGCGCATTTTCTGTCACTCTGCTTACTGAGCTTAGAATCGAATTGAATATCTATCCATTCTTAAGTCTTCCATGCAGTAACTAGCAACAAAAATAAAGTAAACTATTTTCGTGGGAACCGATTTTATTATTTCGAAAAAACAAACAAACTAACAGGTGCCCATGCGGATGCAGTGGTCTGATTTAAGACCAATGGTGTTAGTCTGTCATTTGCAAATAGTTTTGACCTAAAGAATGACGAAAATTTAGGTATATGATACTGGGGGAAATATATACGGAAAAGTGAAGGTAAAATAAAACCATTTCAAAAATAACAGTGAAGGTAAAACAAAATTATTCATAAAATAATATGCTCTTTTAATTCACAGCAATTACAAATCCTGAACATTTCACAATTCACTCCCACCTGACACACACACACACACACACACACACGTACAACAACCCACAGCACTAGGAACAACAATATCCACTTTCGGGAACCAAGAAGGGATTGCAAAGTAAGTTCAATAGAAGCTGGAATTCGTCTCGGTCAGTTCTGTACGACGTGTGGAAGGAATCTGCGCAGTTCCACCAGCGGCTCATGTACAGCGCACCCTGAGACGTGTTTGAAGCGTGTAAATACTGGCATTCTTTAAGGCTGGCGAGGTTGAACGGCAAGAGAGTGTCCCATCGCCACATACCGGTCGCCCTGGGGGAGACAGGAGAGCAAAAATATCAATGAGAAAGAGAATGGATATAGAGAGGCAGATAGATTGGTATATAGAGGGAGGGAGGGAGGGAGGGAGGGTGGGTGGGTGGGTGAGAGATAGAGATAGAGATAGAGATAGATAGAGAGAGAGAGAGAGAGAGAGAGAGAGAGAGAGAGAGAGAGAGAGAGAGAGAGAGAGAGAGAGAGAGAGAGAGAGAGAGAGAGAGAGAGAGAGAGAGAGAGAGAGAGAGAGAGAGAGAGAGAGAGAGAGAGAGAGAGAGAGGCAATTTTAGCTCAAAATGTCGAATACCTTAATATATAATACCTCAATATATTCCACAGCCAATCGTCGACGATAGGAATCGACCCAGCAAACTGGTCTCGGTACAAATTCGCCTTCCAGGCACTGATGGGATCGGTATCTTGCAGGTCAAGCTGTGATTCGAAATTGAACCCACGATATCTGCTGACATAATGTTTACAACTGAATTACTCATATCAGGCGAACAGAAAAAGCATATGAATATCAGAAATAAAGTCATGCACTGTTGGACACCATAACGCAAAGAAATATGAAGCCGTCACCTGCTCTGCGCCCACAACAAGACCTTCGTTCGGGCCGCAAGCGTGGTGAAGGGCGGGAGCAAAGGTCTCGAGAGTCTGTCCAATTCCGTAAAAGGGACCAATTCACCTTCGTGTTGCTTCATCAACAGGAACCACAAGCCGTAGCCTGGAATAGGAATGCAGACATGAGAGAATGCTGTTGAACACAATACTAAATTCAAAATATTAGGAAAAAAGATTATTTGAAAAAAGGAAGGCAAACCACCTTTTTGCACTAATAGGAATCGTACTTTCATTTGTTAAAAACTGAAGATGCCATTACCAATTTTTTATCTGTAGCTCACGGCACATAGATTCTTTGATTATTATTTTCATTGCCAATAAATACCAAATGCTTGTATCCATTTACATATCTATCTATATGTGTGTCAGTCTGTCTATCTGTCTTTCTGCTTATCTTCCTGTGTGTGTGTGTGTGTGTGTGTGTGTGTGTGTGTGTGTGTGTGTGTGTGTGTGTGTGTGTGTGTGTGTGTGTGTGTGTGTTGTTGTTTAGACGTGCGAATTAGTTACTGATGAGAAGAATAACAATTATCTTAAGGTAATGGGGGTCAAACATAAAATATAGAACAACAGTAACCATCACGGGGAACAAGTTAATACGCTAATAGATAAACAGGAAATCTCGTGCACTTACCCACGACAATAACATCGGGGATGGAGGTCGCAGCCGCCCACTCCTGGACGGCAGTGGTGAGGGCGAGGCCGTGATCCAGCGGATGTCCTCTCTTGGACCCCAGGGGCGCCCACACCAAAGTTACTCTCACCACGTACGCCCCTGATCCCCCGGGGCTGCCTGCGTCCTCGCTTTTAAGAGAGGCATTCCGAAGCGAATCTCGAGGGTCGACTTTGGGACTGTTATGGCGGCCGATCACCTCGAACGTTG